TGGCAACTAAACAACTGGACACTCCCATGTCTACTCCAATTGGCCCCTGGCCAGGGCTAATTTGGGCCTGGGATTGCCCTATATCTGGTCATTCTCAATGAGAGGAACGCTCTCTCTTCTGTTCCTGCTATCTCTGCTGCTTTGTGTTCTGTGCCTCTGAGATGCTGCCCTGCCATGTGGTCTGTTGGAGGATAAAGGATCCCCTTGTGCCTTAGAGCACATGAGGCAAGGAGGGTGTTCCTCCTCAAACCCCCTTGGGGGTACCTGGACTATAACACTGGATAATCTTGGACTATAGATCATCTCTGGTAACTACGTATATCTCTTTAATGTTTAGTGAGGGCCAAGGGCCATAAGTTTCCAGTTTTCAGTAATCCTTGTAGTCTAATTACTAAATTCTGTGCTGAATAAATTTATCCTGGTTTATAACTTGTCTGTCTGTATTGTAACTGGACTTCAAGGCTAAACTCCTGTGCCTTCTGCTCACCAAATTGCGCTACCTTGGTAAGATTAACTGCACAGCTCTAGATTGAGTTGCTAATGTATTAAGTCCCAGATGCCAACTGAGATTCTGGAATCTCTAATCTCAGGCTGGTGAGGGAGTAAGTTTAGGGATTTCTGGTGGCTTTTGTTGTCCCTCCCCTCCTAGGGCCCTCCCCCCCCCCCACATGATGGTATATAGCGGGGGGGCTGTGTTATATGTATTTATAACTATTGTTTTAACTCTTTTAAAAGTTGTTTTGATGAGGCATTATTGGGAGGGAGGTTATTTAAATGTTTTTAGTGTAAGGTTGCCTTGTAAGGGAAGAAAGGCGGGATATAATTCTTTTTTACATAAATAATGATAAAATAAAGTTGCCTAAAGTTGTCATGTATTTAAAAATTGTTTTACTCAAGAAGAACTTTCAGCCGGTGTGGCTAATGCAAGTTGTTGGGAATAACAGCCTTTCTAGGACAGATTGGATCAATCAGTGTGAAGTAGGGCTGCCAAGTCCCCCCGGGGGGCGGGGAAAACCCCGCCCGGGATGACTGTTCCCCGGCGCCGCCAGATCGTGA